CCGTGCTGCGTCAGTGACTACTTCCCGCTCCTGCTGATTGCGTCATTGTTGGTTGTACGTTTTCTTAATTCATGATGCTTACTAATCCGTTTTCCTGTAGAACCAGTTCCTGTCAGTCCTCAATATATCATCTGCTGCCCCACGTCCGTCTGCTCCTATTGACTACTGGCTGCGAACTGCAATAGTCGCAATCGTCCTGTGAGATCCTTAACCGTCCGGATCTTACAGGAGGAGTCAACCAACCTTGAAAAGATAGCTTTCCAGACGTCAGGATTGATGATTTTATTTTCTGGACCATCTGTCACTCGGATGTGGGATTTCAATTCCACACTTGATGAAAACTCAAGGGCTGTTCAGAGATAGACAACACGCCGAGAGAAACTACAAGGAGTGGCGGTCACGTGACCTCCGACACTCAGCGGTGTTGACGTTACGGTGTTACATGAATTCATACACTTCAAGTCTATGAAAGTTCTTTGACAAATCTGAGTTGGACGTCACTTCCCTGACTCTTCAATGGTAAAATGAATGTGAGTGGACTGCAAGAACTAACATTTAGTGAGTTTCGTTATCGTAGTTTGGCTCACAGTGGCACTCGTTAATGTTCACTGTCTATGCAGGCTTCGTATTTGGCGAAACTTGGCTACTTTAACCGAAAAGCCACAACCAGAAGAGGGTGTCCGATGCAACAATCAGTTGCATGTTGCTCATTTCAACCGGACGAGCTCATAGGATTCACCTAGCCAAAGGTCAGTGGTGAACTAGCTAGGTTACTCCACAACACAACTACCCAAATTTGCCGTTTCTGGAGGGTATACCGATTTCCGCAGGGCATTATTTCTGTTTTTAGAGTTGGGTGATTTTAGTTCGGGGCGTCGACAGAGTAAAAGCGGACGTCGAGAGCAGGGTTCGAACCTGCGCGGGGAAACCCCATTGGATTTCAAGTCCAACGCCTTAACCACTCGGCCATCTCGACACGACCCAGGGAACTGATCAAATACACCAATTACAAATCAAAGCTTCTACAAACTTGGCTACTTAAGGTGACTACTGCAAAGAATTCAGTAGTTGGAAAATTTTGGGGAACCAGTGCAAGATCCAGTGTTTTTGGGTGGTCCAATGGGCTATTGCGGGCGAAAATGCTCGTTCGTTAAAGTTGTTTAGTATTCATTTACAAGCTTCACGGGGTGGCATCTTAGCTGCTTTATATCTCACTAATTTTCACGGGCCTATCTCTTTGGCATGCTTGTGGCCAGTCACGTAGCAAGTGCCGTCGGGTGACCCTACACTCCACTCTAGTTCAGTAAGCGACTAACCTGCAGCCGTTACCAGTTCAAAATACCACTAAACCGCACCCAAAGTCTCCCGATCGACGTTTGAAACTTATTGAGACCGATTATTCTCAGCGGCACAGTCAGGCATGCGCAAAATTTGCTTGTCACGGATGCATGTGTGTGCGATTTACTTAGAATGACGCTGCCAACTTACAGTGGGCTCATTTTTTAACCATCTGTACGGTATGGTCACACGTGTATGTTGTGTACTTGATTGGCCTCGACAACTCGATACCTGACTTAAGTTGGACGTTCCGCAGTGTACTTGTGCAGACTAAGAAAGTCAGATTCAAAACGTCCAATGAATCTAACAAGCGCCACTGAGCCAACTAGTCGTCTTTACGGAGAACCTTCCTGCCACCCATCTTGGATGGGCAAGGTATAAAGTTGTTTAGCGTGCTTGTGGGAACAAATTTTCGGTGATAAGGTAGTCCATCGAATGAGTAACCCACTCACACGCTAATGACCTTCCTAAAAGTGAGAATAGGGAACACCGACAGGAAAAATATTTTTATAAATACTCAGGTTAGTCACAGCTTTAGAGCGTAATCAGGCGGCTGTTTTGAATATGTGGTCGAAAACTGACTGTAGGGAGACAGTATACGGAAACATGCGGACTGGCCTGGGAAAAGACTACTAGGATTATTTGTATATCCAACTGGTTCCGTATCAGCAGCGCAGACCAGATAGAAGCTTGGCAGCCCAATTCACTTGTCTGGTCAGTCCGAGTAACGAAAAAAGCGTCATCAGATAACAGTTAGTAAGAATTCGCTCTTCGTGGGATCATCATCATCGACAACAAGACGTCAGTGTTCAGCACCGATGCTCCGCTGCCTTACAACCATGATTTCAGACATACGTATCGTAGTTGTACGTAGGCTGGGATACTGTCAGGGCACTCACACCTAGACAACCGGGCGATTAGGGTCCTCATTAACCTAACCGCAAGGCAGCGGTGTTTGGCGGGAAATGCAAGTGCATTATGGAACAAGTCGCCACGGGTTCGAACCCTCAACCTGGAGGACGAAGAGACTCTGTCTGTCAGACCCTTAACCATTGACCAACCTGGTATGAGTATCGCGGAGACACTCCCGGTATAGCTCAGCGGGTCGCCGAGATGGGCAAACCGACACACCACGGTAAGTTCCAGTCTCTTTGTGACGGCTCCGTGGAATAGACAGATGCAGACGCTTCCAAGGTCAATACCTCGACGATAAATCTGTGATAGGTCCCATAATGCTCAGCTGGTCAGACACTGAGAAGGGAACACGTTGAGAACTTACAATATTTGACAGCTATATTCTACTTTCGGTGCACAGCCACGAGGAAGAAGCACAGGGGCTGAACTACTGTCCAGTTATCCAAGCCTAGATAATATCACTCGACATGCGGAGGTTGGATTCGAGTCAGAGGCGTCCCAGTCCAATCTAATAACCACTGAGTCATCTCGAGATCAGGAGACTAGCAATGGTGAACTTAGCTCTGTGATTCTCGGAGCATTTTTGTATATAATGAGCGTACGATCATCCAGTATGTATTGACAGCAATATCCTAAATTGCGCACCGCAGTGAACATTTCCCTAAGGTGACAAAATGGTCGTGTAATTGTTATGCTCTTCTTACCTCCGAGCTANCGTAAAAACCCTTTCAGATTCCCTATAGACTGGGGCCACTGTTCGAATGCAAATACATTTGTCGGTATTTTAAATCTAAGAGTGCTTGAGGAGGTCACACAAAACGGAAAGGGAACGGCAAACCGAAACACTGTAGCCGTAGATTGGGATCGTGGAAAAACGAATAATGTGATTATTGCTTAGTTCACCCAGTCGTTACGGGCACAGGATCGAAGCTCGAGCCCAGATGTCCGATACTGTAAGCTATACCGGAGTTGTTACTGGGCTACTAAACAGGAGAGTAGCATGCACACATGATACTCATGATTTTGTTGTAAAACTAACTGTTACGGTATCCCTCAAAACCCAATTAATACATTTTGTTTAATGCTAATTGGAAGAGTTTGAACAGGAAACGAATCGTTGATGATTACCCCTCCCCACCCTCAATATCATATTCATGTCAGTTGTATTGTTTTTGAAGTTATCGATCAAAATTTCAGGCGCATTTGCATAGTATGCACATTAGAGGTCACTCGTCAGTGCTCTACGTCAGTCACGATCACAGGAATGCGCACAACGACGCACACACACAAACACAGATATGATGTGACTACGGAATTTCGAGCGACCCTTTGAACTGATGCGATTGTCAGTTGGCGATAAGCACGTTCACATGCACAGAGACGCTTACTGTTGGCCCGACTCAGGAAGGACCCACTTGTTCAAATGGACTGGTATGGAAAAACCAGATGTTGGAGACGCTCCTGAACGGCGATAAATCTTGTTTTTGTCCCACAATGAAGTGAGTAGACAATTAGCTAAGCTTATTGACAACACAGAGAAGAACACAAACTTGTCCTGTTCACTGACCGGGTTTCCTAGAAAACTTTCTGCTTGAGTTTGCCTGAGATTCCTCACGTTGGTACCTGTTTTTCTTTACCAGACTATTGTCGTTCCTCTCCACAGGAATGTCACCTGTGTAATTAGGACATACCCAGGTGGCTTCTATCGAAGTTAAGTTATTACGAGGACGGGTTCGAACTAAGTAACTTCCGGTCAGTAAATTCACGACTTAATCACTCGTCAATTTCGAGCTCAGCGAACATACCAAACTCACTCACGATCAGCTTAATTACACCGGAAACTTGAGGACGGTCCAATCAGTTAGTCTTATAGTCTAGATTCCCACTGAGCAACCACTCGTGATCGAGTTGTACGGGTTCGAATAGCCCTGATGATTCCCAAGATTCGCACTCTACACTACTACTAACAGTCTGTAAGTAGCTTAGGGGAAGTGTAACTTCACGAGGTGAGCGAAAATTTCATCTGAGAAGTTATCATTCGAGGAGCCCGTCAATACGTAACCACGTGATGTGGTCTCCGCTGCTGAAAGGTGAGTATCGCTTTGTTCTGCCTAAGTGAGAGATAATCACATTGACACCCAGTAATTCGTGGTCAAACCTTTAATTATTCAAAATACGGGTTGGAAGGATGCGCACCGCTGATGGTTCCCACTTGAGATAAAACAGCTGTATAGTGCCTATCGGTTTTTAAAGCATAGGTTAACTTCACTGGTAGGGTGAAACCTCAATTGATAAATCAATTCAATCAGATCAAAATAAGACCAAAGTGCGAAATAATTGTTAACTTTTTTCGAATGACTTTTAATCAAATCAAAATCTTTGAGTTGCTGTTATCGAATATGTGAAGATGGAGAACACTTTCGATTCGATTTTAAGATCAATTTGATTTGATACATTACAGGGGTGCCCAACAAACCTACCCTAAGTGGAGGCTTTCTTGTAATTTTCATCGTGACCAGGGCTTCCAACTAACGACAACTGGTGCTGAACTCTCACTCAGGCCATATCATCGAAAGACAAGCTGCTGAATCTCATTGATTTTCTCTCCTTCTTGAGTTCTAATTTTCTCTTTCCGTTGTGTGCGAGATCCCTTCCATTCCGGTAAACAAGAAATTCCTAAGCAAAGACTGTTACGCATGTCAAAGCCTCGTCTACTGAAATGAGTGTTGTATACTCTTTGTATCATTCCTAGCTTGGCGAAAGCGTAAGAAAAAGATTAAGAAGAGTCTGGGTGTTGTTAGTGCGGTAGGCCCTCCAGAATGTGTTCTCCCCCTGCGTTTCGCTGCACGCATTGTAAGGAATGGCGAGTAAATGATGTCAGTGGCGTTCGTTTTGTCAATTTCTTCCCAGATTGTCTGACTGATCGTTTGGGGGTAGATAAGTCAGAATGCTTGATAGCAACAAGCCTTCCCTCACCCACTATTTTTATCCTGTTAAACATAATTAGATGAACCTTATGATTGTACGGTAGTCAAGCATCAGTGTCGACATCGATGTTGCTGCCTCGGATGATGATGATGATGATTGATCCTGACAAAAGATTTGGGCGCGCATTTCGTAGCAGTATTCGGGGAGAAAGCGTCGCATCTGTTCAAAATTTTTTTCGCGGAAGAGGACCGTCTTTTAAATTTAACACCCTTGGACAAAATTGTGTCGTTCGTACATGTTCCTACATACCAATCTGTTAAGCAATCGCAGCAGAATCAACCCATTCTCTAGCAAGAAGCCAAATTTGGACTTACATCAGCAAGGAAGTAGCGTCTGGAACCAGTGGTCAAACCCCATCCTCCAGCAGGTGCGGTCAAAAGTCAATCAGGCGATTCTGTTGAGAGTAAGCAGGTGAGGCAGTTGTTTGGTAGAGCAAGAACTCATAAAATTACCAAATGCCCTCGCACCGTTCTTGAGGTTATTTACGTAGGCGCACTCCGTGGGTGCGGTTTACCTTATGTTCCACTTGAACGCTAATACGCGAGCTGATTTAGGATTCACATGGGTCACCCGTTGGCCAAATTAGTTTGCAGAATACCGTGTTTCGCCACAGTGAGTGTGGTAACCACAATGTTTCGCCAGAGTGTGGTAACCACAAGGGGATCAGCTTGACCCCGGTTGTAACGAGACTGTTGGCGTCAATTGTGCTTCGTCGCCTTACTTACG